ATGCTTGCGGAAAGGAGAGGAACTTGCCACTTTCTAATCTTTACTGTTAAGAAAACACAACAATATGGTAGGTTATTGTTAGAACTGTCAAAAGCAAATCCCTGTTATGCCACTTATAACGGCACAACCTTTGGGAAATCATTTGATTTTCCAAAGCCTTCTCCTGTCTGCAAAATGGAAACACAACAGTATCTGTGTCTTAAGTTTACTGCTGTGCAGGCTAAATGAAATAATGCAGATGAAGCATGTTGCATATTGCCTCATTTAATTCTCAACTTCTCTGTGAAGTCAGACATGATTATTTCTTGTTTAACAATTGCGTACATTAAATGTCCCAAGTTCACCCTGTTCACAAGTACTGGCTTAGCTCGTTGACTTGATCTCTGACTCAGGGCCTGAGCTCTTTGCTGCTGCGTAGTCCTGGTAGGTCGATAGTCACTAGTTTCTAGTGAGAAAGGATTAAGTCACGTCAGGCCCCTGCTGTGTAGCAGTCCTTGTATTTGTGATGTACCTAATTCAGCCTAATCTCATGGTATAGAAACCTGTCTCTGGTTTTTACACCATATTATGGATTCAGCCATTTCAGATCCAAATTTTGGTTATTATTCCACAGTCACAAATGCAAAAGTCTTCTCATGTTGCTCTAGTTTGATCTCTGACAAGTAGTCTCAAAGGATAGCTGCAGTGAAGGTTCTGGGCTCAGGGCAGGGGTAGGCAGAGCAAATGAGCAGCTGGTTAAAATGAATTCTTCTCTGGGGCTTCTGCAGGTTATACTCATTTTCACAAATGTTAATTCAGCTGGTACTTATTCGAGCTTGCTCATAGAGATAGCAGATGACCTTTCCTTAAGCTGTTACCAGAAAATCTGAACCAGAGATAAAATTAGCCTTGCAGGCATTGGCAGGTTAACAACAGCTTAGTCCTGTGCGTCTCAATCTTTGGGCTCTCAGGACCACTATGCTCTTAAAAAGGGTTGAGGATCCCAAATATTTTGTGTGCATTACTTATCTATTGCTGGACTCCATATTAAAAATTAAAACTAATACAATTTTCATTTGAGAATAACAACAATAAGCCCATTATATATTAATGTAAATCAATGTTAACATCAATATTTTTAAATACAAATATATTTTCCAGAGCAAAAAAAATTAGTGAGGAACATGGCATTGTTGAACATTTTTGCAACTCTTATTTATGGCTTAATAAGAGACAGCTGGAGTTTCATATCTGCTTCTGTATTCAATCTGTTGCATTACTACACTTCATGTAGATTCTGGAAAACATCTTTATTCACTAATGAGAGATGAGAGGGGGAAAAACACTGTACAATAATTTTTTTTTTTTTTAGAAAGCAGGAATTTATTAAAAAGACAGAAAAACTCCCAAGTGTGAGGGGGCCTGAAAAAGGGTTCCCCTAGAATAACTATTAAGATGGATTTGACCTTACAGGACCCATAGAAAGATCTTGGGAATGTTCAGTGGTCTCTGGACCACATTTCAAGAACCACTAACTTAACCAAAAAACTTTCTGCCGTGAAGAATGTCCTACTGATGCTGTTAGTTTGCTTGACAGTACAATAATATTCATGGATTTAAAAAATAGACAACTTAATAGTATAAGGCAATGGTTCCCAAATTTTTTGGCATCAGGGACTGGTTTCATGGAGGAAATTTTTCCATGGCCCAGCGAAGGGGGCAGGAATCATAAGCATTAGATTCTCATAAAGAGTGTGTAACCTAGATTCCTTGAGTGTGCAGTTCATAATAGGGTTTGTGCTCCTGTGAGAATCTAATGCCGCAGCTGATCTGAGAGAACATGGAGCTCTGATCACCCACTGCTCACCTCATGCTGTGTGGCCTGGTTTTTAACAGGCCACAGTCCAGTCTTGGGGGGTTGGGGACCCCAGGCATAAGGTATTGAAAAGCATAAATACAATTTTGAATTTGTATGTTCTAAAACTTTTATACAAGTTGTAGGAAGGTCACAGACAATTGACATTATAGTTTATGCAGATATGAGAAATAATAATATTCCCTTTCCCATAATTATTGTTCACTAAGAGTTTAATCTGACTGGTGTTATTAGTCATGGTTGTTATGAGATTCAAATATATGAGTACATTCTTTTCAGGAAGAAAATAGTTGCTGGATAGTGAGGTTTAAAAAAATTGAAAAAAAGAGGTGGAAATGAAGTGTAGAAGAGTGCAGGTAAGTTTAATCCTGGTGATTCTACAGGGCTGAAAAAAGGGTAGAAACAAAAGCAAAGGGCCTGTGCTTTTCAAGTATGGGTAATACCTTCATCTCAACTTCGTCTTGGTTAGATTCTGGCTACACAGTGGCTGGGGAAGTACTTGTGTAGCCACAAAAAGCAAGTGAAGGACCAAAAAAAATAAAGGGCGGGTCGGGGTGTCTGTGTGTGTGTGTGTGTGTGTGTGTGTGTGTGTGTGTGTGTGTGTACAAATGTAGGAGAAGTTCTTTTTTTATATTTAGTTTTTTCTTGCTCTCCTGGGTATGTTGGGAAGAATAGAGCTCAATATATCAGGATATATTTCATTCAGTGACATGTATATTAAATGTCTATCTAAGCCAGGTCTACATTACTGCTCTAGGTTTTTACATGCAAATAGAAATAAGACACACTATCTTCCTTCATTTGTGGATATTTTCACTCTGTCATACTATTAATTACAATAGTGGAAACAAAATGCATTTTTGAAGGCAATCTCTTTAGATTAAGTACCTTGTCCTCAGCATTTCTCTAGAATTTAAGGGTTTTTTCCCCTCAGAACTTTGCTAAGTGCCTGTGTACTCCATCTTGATAAGTCAGTTAAGAAAAAGAACATATGTAAGCAGATCCACATGCTTTCCATTTAGGTATCAATTTTTTTTTTTTGGTAGATACTTTAAGAAGGCAGATAAAGAATGATCTATAAACCGAATACCCTGAGTATTCTTATCAGAATTCAGTACTGAGGAATTACTTTTGAACTTTCAGTTTCCAAACTAAATGTGCTTCCAGATTAAGCTGAAGCAACTGGAGAGGAAGTCATACATTTGCTCTCTTTAACAATATAAATGGGATTTGGAAACATGGCTGACCACACGCAGAAGGATGAAACAGGACCCGTGTCTATCACCACACACAAATGGATCTAAGACCTAAACATAAAACCTCAAACTATAAGAATCTTAGAAAACGCTGGAGACACCCTTATGCAAATTGGAATCTGAAACTAATGCTTGATCAAAACCCCAGATGCGCCCGCGGGTTCGAGACCTGCCTGGGCAGCGAGACCTCATCTCTACAATAAATCAAAAAATCAGCTGGGCGTGGTAGCGCATGCCTGTAATTCCAGCTACTTGGAAGGCTGAGGCGGAAGGATCGCCAGAGCCCAGCAGGTTGAGGCTGCGGTGGCCAGAAGTGGCCACTGCACTACAGTCTGGGCGACAGAGTGAGACTCCAACT